TGATTACCAGTCTCATCATGGAGAATACTACATCCAGCTGCCCAGACACTCAACCAGGCCCAGCCAAGTTGACACACAAACTTAACTACCATAGCAGTCAAATGCCTTAGGCACTACACCACCAGAGCTCCTTCCTGGAAGAAGTGGCAAGCTGAGGGATGGTGATGAGTGGTCCATGGAAGTGAAATCACTACATAGAGAAAGAAGGTGGTCTGTGTGCATACTCTGGATGAGAAGAGGGTGAGAAACATGTTGGAGAAACTGAGGTAGTTGTATATGGCAAGATGGGAGGGTAAGGAGGCATGTGGGTGAGAGAGGGAGCCAGTATAAAGGATTTAGCATCAGGGACCTCATTTTCTGAGGGCAACAGGAAGCCAATGGAAATTTTTCAGCTGGGGAGTAACAAACTCATATTTGTATATTAGATACCACTGGCTGAAGCACAGCAAATAGATAAGATCTAGGAAGTAGACTGGAGGCAGGGATGCCAGTCAGGACACTGATGCCTTGGTCCATATGAGAGCCAACAGTGGCCATGACACTTGCCTGGATCCCCACTCCGTACAGGGCAGGTCCAAACACCTCAGCAGGCTCCACTGGATTCCTCAGGAACACCTCTTCTGATGGTATCTCCTTGATTTTGCTTGGGGCAACTTCCTACTGCCATTTTGCTTGAAAGTGTTGATCTAGATGCTCTGCCCTCCTCTGGACAGGCTGAACCAATCAGATGTGTTCTCCCTGGATTTTGAACCTTGGGCAAAAAAGGTTGTGTTTCTTGATCTCAGTAGCACCCACCATGTAGAGACCACCACTCATGTAAACCTTCTGCTCCCCAGATTCTCCCAGGGCTTAAGCCCTGGCCTCTCTGAGGTCTGGTTTTTGAGGTCTTTCCTTAATCCCTTTTGCTTGCCAGTCACTTTCTATGGTTTTAACCAACCTTCTCCCTCTAATGCTTCTTCCACTGTGTCTCTAGCCAAAAAACTCCTACTCACTTTCTAAGACCCACCTCAAAGTGTAACTCTTCATTATAGCCTCCCTGACACCTCTAGGCAGAGTGAGTCCCTCCACTTCTAAGCTCCCTTAGAATCTTCTTCTATAGCATCATAGTTATTTGAGTTGTTTGCTAGCTCTCCACCTCCACCAGTTGGGGCATTCCTTAAAGGCTGGGACCACATCTTATCCATCCTTGTCTCTCCAGGGCCCAGTGCTGAGTTGGCACATAGCAGAGGCCCAGTCAGTGTTTGTTGAATGAATAAGAGAAGTCATTAGTGATCTTCTGCTGTCCTGTAGGTTCAAATTTCATACTATGGACCCAAGTCCCCACCAACCCAAGCCCTGCTCTACCTCACTGGAGTTGGTAAGTGATGACCAGGATCCTGGAGCACCAGCCCCTCACACACACACACACACACACACACACATACACACATACCTACAAGGCATCTCTCCAGCCCTGGAGCTAATCTTAGACTGAACACAGAAAAAGGACAGGTTCTAGCCAGCACACATCTGTTAGTTCATAAATATTCCGCCTCCCCCCACCCCGGTCAGTGAACCACAAAAAAACATAATTGGGAAGAGTATGTAGTGAGCTTCAATTAGATCTTAATATTTTATTTTTTAAGTGAGACAGTGGGTACAGAGATTTTGGCACACAACAACAACAACAGAGATTTTCAACATATGATTCTCTATCCCTTTTTGACACTGAAATATTTGTAACAAAAGTTGTTAATGCCTTATACAATAATATAGACCAGAGTTTCCAGGTTTCCATGATTTATATCCCATCTTCACAAATTTTTGCCATATCAGTGATCCACTAATATATTTTTTAATATTCTTCTTTAAATAAATCCATTTTTAAATTTGACCTCCTCTTGAGCAATAATAACACAGTGTTATTTAAATGTTATTAAATATCTAAACATTTTTCTGTATGCTGCTCAGCCTGACCATTGTTGACCTGTAACCCTGGGGCTGACATTGTTGTTGTTGTTATGTGCCGTCGAGTCACATCTGACTCATAGTGACCCCTCCTTGGGTTTCCGAGGCAGTATCACTACGGAAGTAGATTGCCCCATCTTCCTTCCGAGGAGTGGCTGGTGGGTTTGAACCGCCAGCCTTCTGGTTAGCAGTCAAGTGCCTTAGCCACTATGCTACCAGAGCTCCCATTAGAGCATATAAATACTTTGTATTAAATAGATAAACAAACACGAGCTGAGTGAGATGTCCTTGCAGGGCTTCACATGGAAACTCCTGTTGGGGTGGCTGGGTATTCTTTCTGAAACTCCTGGGCAGCTAGCCACCTAGGGTCTGGTTTGCATCACAGTCGTGGTTCCCTTGAAGGAGGGTGGGGATGGTCAGAAGTCCCACTCTGCTGTCTGAAATGCAGCCATCACTCTTGGGGCCTCAGTAGGGGATGGGTTCTTTGAAACTATGTCTCCTGGGAAAGGAGAGGGAGCAATGCTCCTCAAACTTGGTGTCCACTGTCTCCCGAACCAAGGAGGCCAGGTGAGTGCCTCCACTCTGTACCCTGGCCAACCCTCTCCTCTCATTTTGTGGGATTTCAGAAATCTCCCTGCACACGGACATCACCCGCACAGGCAAAGTGAAGCCGGCAGGAACCAAGAACTACCAGGTACTGTGCAACCTCCACCAACTGCCGCTTCCTTTAGCTTCCTTTAGATATTATGTGGATTCTTAATTACTAAATTACTTACTTGATTACCAAAAAGCTTCCTTTAGCTCTACTGGGTTCTCCTGGGGCAACCTCTAGTGGTGATGAAGTGAACAGCAGTCTGTCTCACATGTGCCAGAGTGATACAGATTGACCGTAAGAGACACAATTCAGGAAGAAAGAACAAAAACAGAAAGAAAAAAAAAGTAGAAGGAAATTAAAATCACCATGAACATTTCGGTTTATATATATCCCATCTCTTGTACAAGACCAGGTTTTCTCCATCTCTGGATACAGAGGATGTGTTGTCCTAGACCCTAAAAAGTCACACACACAGCTGAGAAAAGATTTGTAAGAAGGTCTCTCAGGCTTAAAATCCCTGTGGGATCAATTCCAGGTCACGATGACCCATGTGTGCAAAGCAGAACTGCTCCATAGGATTTTCAAGGCTGTCACCTTTCAGAAGCTGATCGCTAGGTCTGTCTTCCAAGGCACATCTGATGACTTCCAACCACCAAGCTTTTGGCTAATTGTTGAGCACTTAAACATTTGCAACACCCAGGGAGTCCCAGAATCTTTAATGATATGCCCTTGGTATTGCCTGCATGGGGTAATGATAAATAAAGGACAAAATGGCAGGAGGTAGAGGAGGGAAGGAGTCAGGTGGGACAAGGAATATGTGTTGAGGAAAGAGAGGGTAGTGGAGAGTATGGGAGGGGCTTGTGAGCAGGAGTCTTAACCCCAGGTCCGGGATAAACTCCAGGGTATCCCTGAACACCCAAAACTGCCTGCATGATTTTATCCTGATGTGATATGTGCATTTTGGGAAGCTGTGACCTGCAAAAAAGGAGCTCTGGTGGCACAGTACATAAAACATTTAGCTGCTAACCAAAAAAGGTCATCGATTCAAACCCACCAGCTGCTCCGTGGGAGAAAGATGAGGCAGTCTGCTTCTGTAAAGATTTACAGTCTTGGGAACCCTATGAGGCAGTTCTACTCTGGCTAAAGGGTAACTATTAGTCAGAATTGACTCAATGGGGGGTGGATTTTTGTTTGTTTTATACCAGTAGAAAGATTAAGATCCTCTTGTCAATCAAAAATGAGGAGAAAAGTGGGGAAGCAGGAAGGTTCTGGAAAAATTACAACCTTGGGAGTGGAATCCACCCTTTTCATCCCCAGTGGTGAGAGCTGTCCCATAAAGGGAAGACATCATCACTATGAGATTCCCCACCAGGCAGAGCCGCTTAATTTGCTTTCATCTTTTAACAGACAGTATCTGGCTGCTAAGAATAGACACACACTTTGGTAAATAAGTAATTAAGAATTCACATAATAGTAACTATTTAGATTAGAATCTTGACATAAATATTTAGCTCATTTTGGTTTGTCAAGTCAACATTTTAAAATAGTTGTTAAAGTCCATTTTACTGATGTCAGCGCTTTTTAAAAAATGGACACACAGCATTTTCAGTGAATGTGTTTATGACTTGGTAGGTAGGCAAAAATCCACTTCTGGGACAAAGAATGACGTGGTGTGGGAACAGGAGTATGACCTGCAGGAAGCTGATGAGGCGACAGGGGGAGGTCGCTGTGCTTCCTCTGAGGGTTGGGGGCTCTATGCAGTTTCCTAAGCATGCCCCGTCTCTTGTGGGTGTCCACAGAGAAATTGGACCTGGGGCCCTCACAGACAAGGTGCCATCCTGTTGGTGAACTGCGACAAAGATAATCCTACATCCTCCACCATGGACTTCAAGGATGATGAGGCACATGACAGCAAAGGTAAAGACCCCTGATAGCTAGTGGGGATGGAACTTTGTCCACATGGCCTGTGCCTCCTATCAGCTCTCTGAAATAGGAGCTGAAAGCATGTCCTTGTTACTATGTTCATTTTACAGGTGAAGAAATGGGAAAAGGTCCTAAAAGGGTAAGCGACCTGTCCAAGATCACACAGCAGTGAGAGAAAAGCTGGGATCAATGCTGAGTCTCTTCTAGGCTCCAGTTCCCACTGCCTATCTCAAACTTCTGCCCCTGAGTCAAACTTGGAGCCCAAAATAATCCCAAATGAAAGCCTGCCCCAAACACATGCCAGAGTTGCCCCTGGGTCCCTGCCAGATCCAGGCACTACTCTGAACACTTCAGAATCACTAGCTCATTTGATACCTTAACCAAAGCCAAGAGGCATGCATTATTGTCACTCCCATTCTACAGGTGGGAAAACTGAGGCACAAAGGAGTTAAGCAATTTGCCCAAGGTTACATAGCTAAGAAGTAGCAGGCTAAGGATTTGAACCTGGGCATTCTGACACCAGAGAAAATTTAGGGCACAAGGAGGGTAGTGGACTAGTCAAGGGTGTAGGACGCCCTGGCACATCTCTGGGCTGCTGAGCTGTGGCCAGGGTGGGAGAGACAACATCAACCACTTCCTGGAGGAGGATGCTAAGGCAGAGAGGTTGGCAATGCCAGGGCAACAGCTGTGGCCTTCCTGGGGAGTTGCTAGGATATCATGGAAATGGATGCACTATAAAGTTGCATCCAGTTAGTCTGACCTTAGGCCAGGGGACAGCCTCTACACAGTGTCTGGTACACAGTCATGGTCAAAGTACCTTTTGTGGGTACCAAGCACTGCAATAAGCATTTCATATGCATTATATATATATTTTGCATTATGCCTGTATTCATTATAATACATGTATATATATAATTGTATGCATTACTTCATTTTAGTTGCACAACAGTCCTAAGAGTGAACACTGTTCTTAGCCTTTGTCTTAGTTAGGGTTCTCTAGAGAAAAAAAACCAGTAGTATATGTGTGTGTGTGTGAGTGTGTGTGTGAGTGTCTGTATGTGTGTGTCCATATGTAGAGAGAGATTTACTTCAAGGGGTTGGCTCATGTGATGGTGTAGATCGGGTGGCAGGCTAGAGACTCCTACTGGCTTGCATTCCAAGATCTGTAGTTCAGCCAAGAGGAAGAGTACAGAGTCGAGAGAGAATGAGTTCTGCCAAAATATCTATTCAAAGTCTGGAGCTGACCATATCCTATGGAACTCTCCTCTCAACTGATTGGTCAGTTATGTTGCATTAGATTACATTATGGGAGGTTATTACATTGTGTTAGATTACATTATGAAACAGCAACTAGTCTAGTGTTTGGCCAAATCATTGGGAACCGTATCCTAGCCAAGTTCACACACAAAAACCATTACAACCCGGTTTATTGATGATAAAACTGAGGCACCAGAAACCAGTTCCAAGCTCACGCAGATCCAGGATTCATAGTCGACTCAATCTGTCAGAGAAACTGTTGCTTGAGAGTATTGCCTTCCCTATGCCTTTGCTGTTATCCAAGTTCATTCATGAACTTCACTTCCTGCCCAGGACAGTGGGAAGAAATCTTTTCATCCATTCATTCCATAAATAGTTATCCAGCACCTGTCCCGTGCTAGTCACAGTTCTAGGTGCTGCTCCATTCTAAGTGCTGGAGACACAGCAATAAATAAGCTAAGCATGGTCCCTGTCTTTGCTGAGCTTACACCCTAGTGGGAGAAGACCAAAACCCTACCACCTTTCCAAAATGAAAAAGATCATTTCAAACACTGGAAACTGCATTAAAAAAAAAAAAAAAAAAACTCACTGCCATCGAGTCAAATCCAACTCATGGCGACTCCTCCTTGGGTTTCCGAGGCAGTATCTCTACGGAAGTAGATTCCCCAGTCTTCCTTCTGAGGGAAATCATATGGAGAAAATAAAATTGGGCAACATGATAAAAAGTGGTCTCGAGGGGGATGGGCTGGAAGGGTAGTAAGTCCCCACCAGGGGCTGACTAACAAGAGATTAGCTGTGTATCTGTGCAGGCTTGGCCAGCAAGTGGTCTCAGGACCTGCGTTTCAGGCCACACCCTCCTTGTTCCAGACCTGCAGGACATGTCTCTGATGACCTTGAGCACACAGACCCCCAACGGTTTCTTCACCAAGTACCAACTAGTGCTCCATGTGGCCAAATCAGAGATGGACAAAGTGCGTGTGTTTCACGCCAAACGTGAGTTATCCTGCCTGGGCCTCCTGTCTCTGTTTCTCCCTATCTGTGATCCCTACATATTCCAACCACTGGGATGCAGCCTCTTCAGTGGACAGTGCCTCAGCACCACTATATGCTGGGTCCTAAGAACCAGGCATGCAGCATGGGCAAGACAGTGTTTCTCTCACTCCCTTCTAGAAGAAGGCCACAGACAAAATGCACACACAGTCATGAGAGCATGTCTGGTGCTAGTGAGCCCTGTGAAGGAAACAACCACCCTCCCAAGGACTCCTTACTGTTCCCTGCTTCTCTCTGCCTCTGTGTCTCTCCCATTCTCTGTCTCTCTCTCTCTCACCTACACACAACGGACTCATGTTTATATAGATTGTGAATCCAAGCAGACTGCATATGTTAGGCAAGGATTCATTCTCCAACATCCTGCTAATCAAAACCAAAATCTGTTGCCATGGAGTTGGCTCCAACTCATGGAGACCCCACGTGTGTCACAGTAGAACTGTGCTCCATGGGCTTTTAATGGCTAGTTTGTCAGAAGTAAATTGCCAGCACTTTCTTCCAAGGCAACTCTGGGTGGACTTGAACCTCCAACCTGTTGGTTAGCAGCTCAGCACATTAACCGTTTGCACCATCCAGGGGTTCCTCCTTCTAATGAAAGATATCAGTAATAGCTCAGTGGTGCATGAACGTCTATTAAATGCCAGTCTTTGTTCTAGAGTCAGGGCACAGGCAACAATGAACAAAACAAAGTCCCCACCCTCATGCTTCTTTCATCTTAGAGGATTGAGACAATGATAGGTAAAATACCAAGTTTGTCAGATGGTGTTGAACACTGTGTAGATAAATACATTACAGAAGACAGTGTGGAGTGAGGGATGGAGTAAGAGTGTGTAGAGAGGCGCCAGGCAAGGCTTCTCTGAGAGTTGTCATTTGAGCAGAAATGAGTATGGGAATAGTAGACACAGGGGGAAGGAAGGACATTCCAGGCAGATGGAACAGCACATGCAAAGGCACTGAGGTGAGATCATAACTGTGGGCTAGAGGAATGCAGGGAGGCTTGTGGGGCTTGTGAGTTCAATTTACCTACAGGATGGAGGTTGTTCTGGTTACCTCGTGCCGCTCTGACAAGAATATATCACAGATGGGATGGCCTTAACAAACAGGAGTTTATTCTTACAATTTGGAGGCTTTAAGTCCAAGTTCAAGTGCCAGGCTCTAGGGGTTGGGTGAAAGCTCCTCAGCTTTGGGCTTCAGCTCCGCCTCCAGCTCCCGGCCCACTGAAGCTAGAGGCTTTTCTTCACTCAGACAGCTGCTGGCTGCTGAGGCTGCCAAGCCCAAGGTTGACAAGTAAAAAGGCACAGTCCTGATGTTACCAAACCACATGGCAGGCCGTTAATTCAAGTCTATTGTAAGTCCCAAAGAGCATGGCAGGCTGCTGAACAATGACATGGCTACATGCAGGGTCCAAGCGTGCCATAAGCTAGAGACCATTCCCAAAGCTGCTGCTTATATACGGGAAGCAGACCACATACCCAAAGCAGCTAATCAGCTGTTCACAGTAGATTCCACCATGGAGTTGATTACCAGTCTTATCATGGGGAATACTATATCCAGTTGCTCAGCCACTCAACCAGGCCCAGCCAAGTTGACACAAAAACAAAACCACCACAGAGGCCAATCAGATGGGTTTGTGCAGAGGTGCAATGTGAGCTGGCTTCCTTCCATTCTTCTTGTTGTTATGAGTTACTCTCCGGTTGATTCCGACTCATGGCGACCCCATGTGTGCAGAATAGAACTTCCTTCCATTCTTGTTGTTGTTACAGGTTACTCTCCGGTTGACTCCAAGTCATGGCGACCCCATGTGTGCAGAATAGAATTACTCCATAGGGTTTTCAAAGCTGTGACCTTTTGGAACCAGATCACCAGGCTTGTCTTTTGACACACTTCTGGGTGGATCCAAACCACCAACCTTTCAGCTAGTAGTTGCACCATCCAGTGACTCCTTTCTATACCAAAGTAATTCAACTGACATTAGTCTGACAACACACCAGGCATCACCTCCTCCAGGAAGCCCTCCCTGATTCTCTAGATGTCCTTCCATCACAGCACTTATCGTCCTCTGTTATTTTGACAGTCTGTGCTCCTCCTACTCACCCATAGACTGTGCACTCTCTGGGGATGAGGGTGGTTACTGTCTCCCTGGTATTTCCAGGTCTCAGATGAAATCTGGCTGGAACAGGTGCTCAGGAATAAATCAATAAATGCGTGAATGAATGACTTCACGCTGGACTTCATTCATGTTGGACTTCTTGTAAAGTTGGGAATGGCTCAGGGACCCCTGTCACCCCCCAGCCCAGGGAGCAACACCCCAGCTGGACTTTGGTCTTGTATTCCCAAAGGGAGGGTCCAGCCAGCTTTGGCTGTGAAAGCCCTCAGGTAGGGTCCATGCAATAGCCCTGGATAAGGTGTCACCACAACAGGGAGAAGAAATGAGGTTTTCAGAGATAATGTGCAGACTTGAACCTCCCCTGTTCTCTTCCTAGGGAACAAGTCACCCTCCAAATATAAGATAGTCCTGGGACCCCAGAAGCCGTGCCATGCCCTGGAGCTCCCCGATGGCCAGCACAGCACCGACTTCTACGTGGAGGGCCTTGCTTTCCCAAATGTCAGCTTCCCAGGGCTCATTTCCCTCAGTGTCTCCCTTTTGGACATATCCAGCCAGGTAAGCCATGATGGTAGCCTATAATGGGGGCTGGGCTTCCAGGCAGTGACCCAACTGGGGGTGGAGGTGGGTGCAGAGTGCAGCTGGGGAAGGGGCCCCCAAACAGCTGCCATGGAAATGGTAGATGTTAGACCCTGGCTGCTGTGATGGCCCTTTCCCTGCCCTGCTCTCCACAGGAGACCCCTGAAACCCTGGTTTTCCAAGACAGCGTGACCTTCCGTGTGGCCCCATGGATCATGACCCCCAACACCCAGCCCCCACAGGAGGTGTATGTGTGCAGGTGAGGGGCACTAGAGTGCTAGCAGTGGGAGGCACTGTTACACTAGGAGAAGTCCTGTACTGGGAGTCAGGAACCCTGGGTTTTGACCACAGTCCATCACATACTTGTTGTAGGAATGGGAAAAACTGTAGTGGCGGTTGTTATCCTGTCCCAGAGCCAGGTGAGTCCCTAAGCCAGGTTTCCAGGGTTTCTCAATGTGAACCTCCTACATCAGAAACACCTAGAAACTTGCTTAAAATGCACATTCATGGCCAACCCCTGACCTGTTGGGTCTTGTCTCTGGGAATACTCTAGGAATCAGTCTTCTAGTCTGAGAGCCCCTGATAAGTGTGCAGGGCCTCAGGGGCATCCTCTCCCCTCTTCCAGTTGCTTCAGGGACAGAATGAGTAAGAGTGTAGCCAGGTTAAGGTGCAGGCTAGATGCCAGAGAGGCCTAGGTTTGAATCTCAGAGCTGTCCTCAGGTGGCATGACCTCCAGCTGCCATCTCCTCTTTAGTGAAAGGGGTTTCCTGCCTCATGGGCTGTTATGAGGATTATATGAGATAATGCCTGTTAAGGGTAGAGAGACAGGATGAGTTAGGCCAACAAATGTCTCCTGAGCACTTACTAAGTGCCCCTCCCGCTCCATCCAGGCCTGGGGTCTTGCGCCCCCTAGAAGACACTGGGACTATCCAGCTTGGCCCCTCAGAGCCCAGCCCAGGCTACTAGCTGAATCCAGAGCACTAAAGGGCTGCTTTTTCTCTCTATCCAGGATTTCTGAAAACGATGACTTCCTGAAGTCACTGACCACTCTGGCCAAGAAAGCCAAGTGCAAGCTAACTATCTGCCCTGAGGACAAGAACGACAATGACCAGTGGATGCAGGTACGTGGCCCTGTGGGACAGGTAGGCAAGGGCAGGTGGTCTGGAGCACAAGAGGGAAAGGACATTTAGAGGGTCTGCATTTCTGGGGCAAAAGGAAGACTGGGCAATCTACTTCCATAAAGATTTACTGCCTTGGAAACTCAATGGGGTCGCTATGAGTCGGAATCGACTTGATGGCAGTGGGTTTGGGTTTCTTTTTGTTTTGTTTTGTTTTGTTTTTTTGGTTTGGGCTTCTGGGGACCAGCCCAGTGTCTTGCCAACTGCCCTTTCTTGGATAGGCAGGGAGTTAGGGATCTCTAAGTGTCCCTGCATAAGAGGGTTCGGGCCAATGAGTCAACTGACATTGACTTTGTGCCACCACATGCCAACCGTGGCCACCAAAATGAAAGCCACCTCTCTGCTTAAGAACTCTCTGACAACCTCAGAGAGGCTACAAAGCTCAGGAGGCTCAACCCTCAACGGCTCATCCCCTCAAGGGGCCCTCCCCACAGGCTGGCCTTCAGGGCTCAGCCCCCAGACCAGGTCACACCCCTGCTCTAGCACTTGTCATGGCTCCCATGGCCTCCTCCCCAGCCTGCTTCCAGGACCATCTGCTTCCCTCGCCTAGCCTTTCCCTGTACTGATGAGCTCCTCAAGGCAGAGAGTGTCATTCAGCTCGGTGCCAAAGCCTGGCCTTGGTGGTCAGGTCTCTGCCCCCATGTCACTCACCTGCTGCCCATCTCCACACCTTAGCCCTTGCTGTTCTTTCTCCTATTCCCATTGAATCCCAGCTTTAACATTCCCCAGTCCTCCAGTGGGAATTCACCCCCCTTTCTTCCAAAACCCATTTTCTTTCTTGTCATTCTATCTTTATGGTGTCAGGGGTCGAACCATATGGAATTGCCAATATGCCAACATTGTTTGGTTCACTATCATGTCTGCCTCTAGAAAGCAAGGACCTTGAAGCAGGATTTGCACCAGATCCATCTCTGAACCTCCCTTCTCCTACTCCATGAGCTCAGTTGAGGCCTTACCTGCCCTGTTTTGGGACAGTCAGGGGGCTGTGGGGCAAGGGCTATTCATTATCACCCTCCAGACCTCCCTCCTTCCAAGAAGTCTTCTCTGGCCAATCCCAACCCCAATGGCATGAGGAGCCTCTCTCCCCACAACCTCTCAGACCCTCAACTTCCCCTCCCATCACTCTCCTAACACAGAGCTGCTCATCCACCTTGAGGGACAGGTTAATTGAGGACAGGGCCACGTCTTGTTCATCATGGATCCCAGCACCCAGCCAGGGCACACAGCAGGAGTGGGGGTGAAGGGCACACCAGGGGTGTCACCACCTGTTTGGGCACCAGGCATACACAGGACAATAAGCTCTGTTTTCTCAGACTCCCTTTTCTGGGTCAAACATTTTACAAGACTCCAATGGTGGGAGAGGGGCTGGTTCTGCGTCCCCATCTCTGCAGTGGGTTCCAGGACCCAGGCAGCATGCCTAACAACCTCCTTTCTTCTCCTTCTGCACAGGATGAAATGGAGATTGGCTATACCCAAGCCCCACATAAAACGTTGCCAGTGGTCTTCGACTCCCCACGGAACAGAGGCCTGAAGGACTTCCCCATCAAACGTGTGCTGGTACCTGTATGGGGTGGGGGTCACCAGCTGCTGAAACCTCCTTGTCTTCCTCATTAGCCTGTCCACCCTCCCACACCCCTGAGGGCTGAGCAGCCCAGCTCCCACCATGGAATTCCTGCTTGCTCAGGGGCAGTGCAGGCGGGACTGGTTGTTTTTGTTGTGATCCTGCTGATAAGATCTGGCTCATTTCTCAAAAGCCTTCTCCACCTGTGAGCTCACACCTCAAGATAACCCTGCTGAGGAACAGGTTGGGCTCAGACATCCTTGTTGGACTGGAGATGCTTTTGAGGCAAGGTGGGGTCAGAGCCAGGGTTGGTACCTTTTCCAGCATCCACTTGGAGCTTCTGTTTTTTGGGCAGGGTCTGATCTGAGGGGCTCCATCCAGAATGTGGTGGTATTCAGGACCAGAGTGATCATGCCCTCATGTGACTTTATCAGCCAAGTGAGTCATGCTTGACTAGCCTGGCAGGTTCATGCAAACTCAGCATAGAATAATAATAACAACAATAATGATGAGGAGAGTTGAGCATGCATTTAATTCTTCTGATAAGCTTTTAGGCTTTGATGTAGATGCTATTAATAGACCAGTTTTACAGATGAGAAAACTGATCTCTGAGACATGAAGTGACTTTCTCAAAGTCACACAAAGGTGAGTGAAGAAGTTGGATCAGGCCAGGCCTTGAGCATGCTCTTAACCAGAGGGCCTTCCTGTTCTCTCAGAAAGACTCAGCCTGCACCCAGAGCCCTGGCAACCAGTTGATTCGAGGAGCCCAGGGAAAATGGGGGGAATAACATGAGGTGCGAGGTTTGCTAAGGTAAATGGCTTTCCAAGGAGCATCCTGCTCTCAAAGGAATGGAGAAGGTGTCCCTGCCCACACAGGAGGCTTTTAAACAAAACTTCAGTTTAACTCAACAACTTGTCCTGAGCTCTCCTTACCCCTAGCCACGCCCTGCACTGAGCAGGGGAGATGCAGGGATTTTGTTGGGTTCACAGTGTCTTCTATGCCATGGAATCAAGTTAATCCTGTTTCAGGAGCATCAGGACAAATAAGCTAGCTGTCTGTGACTGCCCGTCCTTGCTGGTGTTAGCCCTATGTTGTTCAGTGCCTTGTTTCCTACTTTGATACTCCAAACATGACAAAGACCAGATCCTCTGGCAACACAAGACAAACTTCCAAAGTCCTAAATTAAAATGCCAGACAGACAGACACATCAGCACAAGTGTCTTCCCCTTTCCCACAGATAATCTGGGATAAAGGGGGCTGCAATGATCTCTTGGCCAAGCAAATCCAAAGGATTCCTGCTCAAATCACTCAGAATAAGAAGAATCAGAATAAAATTCAAACTCATCACCATGTTCGGGCCCCTGCCCACATGCCCATCCTCATCGAGGACTTTTCTTCCCCCACATGGACTTGCTCACCTCTAGCCCCACTGGCCTCCTTGTTCTTCAAACAGCACCCAACTTTTACTCAGCTCTCAGCCTTTGCATATGCCATTCCCTCCACCTGGAATGCCCTACCCCATTCATGTAGATGGCTATTTCTCATCCTTCAGGCCTCAGCTTCAATGCCCTCCTCAGTGAGGCCTTCCCTGACCTCAGAAGGAAGCCCTACCCCAAACCCCAGCACTCTTGAATACAGCCCTAGTGGTTTCTTCCAAAATACCAGAACCAAAACCAAAATCGCTACCATTGAGTTGATCCCAACTCACAGCAACCCTGTGGCACAGAGTAGAACTGCCTCATAGGGTTTCTAAGGCTGTAAATCTTTATGGAAGCAGACTGCCTCATCCTTTGCCCAAGGAGCAGCTGGCAGGTTCAAACTGCCAACCTTTTGGTTAGCAGTTGCATGCTTTAACCACTGTGCCACCAGAGCTCCTTCTTCCAGGATACTTTGTTATAAATCATTGATCTGTTCATTCACTTTTTATGGTCTCTTCCAGCTAGACCATAGGCACCATGAGGATAGGGCTGGGGCTGTTCTGCCCAGCACTAGCTTGAGGTTTAATGCACAATGGGGACTCTTTCCTTAAGATCATGCCAGTCATATTTTGTCAGCACTATAAATGGAAAACTTATAGCTTTTACCACAGATAGAAGACAACTGTGAAATTAAACACAATTTAAATAAAATGGCAGATACAACTGCTATAGCCAAACCTGAGATCAGCTATTTAGTTGCTAAAATGGGAGATTAGCAGGTGTTAAGGAAGCATTCAGCATCCCTGGGTGGGACAAGTGGTGAATCACTCAGTGCAAACTGAAAAGTTAGAGGTTCAAGTCCACCCAGAGACACATTGGAAGAAAGGCCTGACAATCTACTTTTGAAAAATCAGCCATTGAAAACCCATGGAGTGCAGTTCTACTGTGGCACACGTGGGCTCACCATTAGTTGTAATCAACTCAATGGCAACTGGTTTGGTTTTTTTAAGGATGTTTTTGCACCCTGGGACTTGAATATTTGGTGAATCAAAAAGATTGGAGGAGAATTGAAAAGACAACACCTTTCTAATGCTGTGCCTCAAAGGTGCATCAGTTGGCATCCATGGGCAGCCCACACAAGTCCACTCTTGGGGAGCTGCTTCTACAGAAAATGGGGACCCCATCACTTACTTGTAGAAATTCAAGCCTGCAGTGTATATAGCAGATCCCCTCTCATGACGACAGCCAAGGTTGGAGATTTGTGTGAATTTATCATTCATTCATCAAACATTCACTGAACCTGCTCTGTGATGGGCCCTGGTCTAAGAATGCGGTATACATCAGTGAACAAAACAGAGGTCCTTGCCCTCACAGAGCTGACACCTAGCAAAGAGAGGCCAGCAATAAACAATGAATACAGCAAATAAATAAATCATGTGGCATATTATAAGGTGACATCAAGTGCTACAGAAAAAAAGAAAGACTAGAGTAGAATAAAGGGACTCCATGGTGTCAGAGTGCTGTGGGAAGGAGGTGGGTAGATTGCAATTTTAAATAGAATGGTCAGGGTAGGCCTCGTTGAGAAGCTAGCATTGAGGAAAAACTAGAAGGAGGTGAGAGAGTTGGCCATGCCAACATCTGAGAGAAGAATTTTCCAGGAAGAGGGAACAACCAGTGCAAAGGTCCTGAGGCAGGAGCGTGCCTGGTGTGTTCAAGAAGATCAAGGAGACCAGAGGGGTTGGAGCAGAGGAGCAAGTGGAGAAGTGTGTGGAGGGGAGGGGTTAAGGTCAGAGAGGTGACAGGGCCTGGGGTGAAGGGACAGATCATATGAGATTGCTGGCCACTGTGAAGAATTTGGTTTAGATTCCAAGAAACCGAGGAACCATTGCAAGGTCTCAGACAGGGATGGGTTGTGATGTGACTTGTGTTATCAAAGATCCCTCTGGCTGCATGTTGAGAAGGGACAGCAGGGGTCAAGGGCAGAAGCAGGGAGAGCGGGAGGAGGCTATTGCAGTAATGAGATGAGAGGTGAGGGGCCACAGACCAGGGTGGGGCGGGGGAGGGAATGAGAGCTATTCTGAAAGCAGAGCCAACAGATTTCCTGGTGGTCACTGGGTGGTGTGAATGGTTGACGTGGTCAGCTGCTAACAGAAAGGTTGGCAGCACAAGTCCACCCCGAAGTGTCTCAGAACAAAGTCCTGGTGATCTACTTTTGAAAACAAAGCCATTGAAGACTGTATGGAGGACAGTTCTACTCTGACACACATGAGGTCGCCATGAGTCAAAATTGACTCAATGGCAGCAAGTGGTGAGAGAATGAAATGAGCCAAAGGTGCCATCAAGACTTTTGATTCTGTGACTGGCAGGCACTGTCCCCAGGATGGGAGGTGGGAGGGCAAACTGGCAGGTGAGGGGGTGAGGCGGGAAGAAGGGATCAGGAGTTGCACTTGGGTGTATCAAATTTGAGATACCAAGTCAACACCCAAGTGGTAAGTCAGGTAAGCAGGTGGCTATGTGCCCAGAGTTTGGGGAGAGGACCAGACTGGGAGTTGTCAGCTCATCAGTGGCATTTCAAGCATGACACTAGGCAAGAATCGCAAGAGAGAGAGTGAAACTGGAGAATAAAGAGGGGCCTTCCAGTGCCACAAGGTCAGAGAGACAATGAGGGAACAGTATCGGAGAAGGAGAAGGAGCAGTGATGAGGGAGGAGGTGAACGAAGAGTGGACAGGGTCCCAAGAGCCAAGTGCAGAAAGTGTGTCCAAGATGTGGGTGTGACCAGCTGTCCTGGATGCTACTGGTTGTCAAGGAGATGAGGCCAAGAATTGCCCTTGATTTCTCTGTGTGGTCACTGAAGACCTCAGGCATGAGAGTTATATTGGTATGGGTTTTGGAGAGAAAGTGGAAACGATGATTTTTAAACTTTTGGAGTCACAGATCTCCTTGCAACTACTCATCTTCCCAGGCAAATGCACCCAGGAGCATAATTTGGAATCACTTCCAGGGAGTCCATTGAGCTCCAGGGAGTGGATCATCAGTTTGTAGAGGGGCAGTTGGTTGTACTGTGATGGCTTACATGTTGCTGTGAGGCTGGAGGCTATGTCACCAGTATTTCAAATACCAGCAGGGTCCCTCATGGCAGACAGGCTCCAGGAGAGCTTCCAGACTAAGACAGACTAGGAAGAAAGGCATGATGATCTACTGCCAAATCAGCCAATGAAAACCCCAGGATCACACAGAATATTGCCCAATCTACTGCTGGCAATGAGCCCCCTGATTGGAAGGCTCTCAAAAGACTGAAGCACACCAACAATCACAAAGATGGTGCCAGACAGGGCAACATGTCATTCTGTCATACATGGGGTCACCATGAGTAGGAGCCAACTTAGCAGCAACTAACCAACCAGAGCAAAGAGGCTGCATCCTCTCCTAGGGAATGTGGTAGCTGAATGATTGCGCCTTACACATGTCCAGGTCCTCATCCCTGAAGCTGAAGCATCAACTCTTCTTTGGTCTTCTTTATTCATTGTCCAGCTTTCACATGCATATGAGATGACTGAAAATTGACTTGGGTTAGGTGCACCTTAGTCTTCAAAGTGACATCCTTGCTCTTCAACACTTTAAAGAGGTCTTTTGTAGCAGATTTGCCCAATGCAATATGATGTCTGATTTCTTGACTGCTTATTACATGGGTGTTGATTGTGGATATGAAATCATATTATTTACTTGACATTCAGTAGGTACCCAACATGCTAGTCCCTTTTCTTATTGACCTGATGCAACATTCCTTCAACAATCCACACCTCCTGTGTGCTAACCACTGGCGGTTATTGAATTCCTTCTTGTAACCAAGTGAAATTTTCAACTTGAACCTCACCCTCTCTTTACCCAGAGACTCCTTTCTCTAACTCTTGCCAAACACATCTTCCATTTCAGGGTCCAGATTTTGGCTATGTGACTCAAGAGCCCAAAAGAGGGAAAATCACTGGTCTTGATGCCTTTGGGAACCTGGAAGTGAGCCCTCCAGTCACAGTTGGGGGGAAGAACTATCCACTTGGCAGGATTCTTTTTGGGAGTAGCAGTTACCCCAGGTGAAGAGGGGAGGGGAAGGGTGGTCAGGGTCCAGGGAGGAGTGCCATGGAAATGCAGAGGCCAGAACCAGAAGCCTCTGCTACCTGCCCCCAACCCAAGAGAGCACAATAAACTTAAGATCTTGAGTATGAAAGGAATCAAAGTATAGGACAAGGGACACAGGCTTTGGGACCTGTAGACCCAAGTTTAAGTCCCAGCTCTACTGACTTACATCCACTCTTTCAGTTGGTAAATATTCACTGAGCACCTACTGTATACCAGGCATTATGCTAGGAGCTGGGAATGCAACTATGAATATGACGCACAAGTCCATGCCATGAGTCCAGTTAGGGAGACAGATAATAGAACAGTAAACAAATAAAATAATTTCTAATAGTTAAGAAAACAGATCAGAGAGGGACAGAGGAGGAGTGGGAATTAGGTTAGTCAGGGTGTTTTGTTGTTGCTGTTATGTGCCATCAAGTCAGACCCGACTCACAGTGACCCCTCCTTGGGTTTCCGAGGCAGCATCACTACGGAAGTAGATTGCCCAATCTTCCTTCTGAGGAGTGGCTGGTGGGTTTGAACCACCAGCCTTCTGGTTAGCAGTCAAGTGCCTTAGGCACTAAGCTACCAGAGCTCCTAGTCAGGGTGCTTAGGGAGGTCCTTTCTGGGGAGGTAGCTTTTGAGCTGAGGTCTGATGATAAGAAGGACCTGGCCATGTGGAAATATGGGACAGAGAATTCCAAGTAGATGGAAGAGATATGCAAAGGCCCTGAGGCAGGAGCAAACTTGGTATGTTCAACAAAGCCAGAGTGGCTAGAACAGATTGAGCAAGAGGAAGAGAGCTAGGTAGGGGCTACATCACATACGTCAGGGCAAGGAGAAAACTGAGGCTCAGAGAGGTGAAGGATCATTCCCAAGGCCACACAGCTAACAAGGGACCATGAACTCAGGTCAGACTGGCTCCAAACCACAACACCACCATACAGACTAAGTCAATTACCTTATACACTCTGTGCCTCAGTTTCCCCAATAAAACTGGGATAACAATTCCTAAATCCCACAACTACTAGGAGATATAATAAAGGTGAGGAGACCTTCTGGCCTCCTGAATCCCCTTCCTGGCTGCAGGAGAACCATGACCCCTTTGCCAAGTCCCCAGTCCCTGAGAGACCTTCCTGCTGAACCCCTTCCCTATCACTGTCCCCTTTACACACACACTCCTTTAACCCTGCATTGACAGCAATGAAAGCCGGGAGATGCACCAGGCCCTGCAAGGCTTCCTCGCTGCCCAGCAGGTGCAGGCCCCAGTGAAGCTCTATTCTGACTGGTTATATGTGGGCCACGTGGACGAGTTCCTGAGCTTTGTGCCAGCGAAGAACAGGAAGGTACAATCTGGAGGCCTGCCTGGAGGAGGCTATGTGCCACCTTCCTGGGTCACCATGTCAGACTCTTTTTCCTCACCCCTGGGGAATGGAGGGGGGAGGAGGCAGCCAGGCTGGGACCAAACCCAAACTCCCCACATCCTCAGCAAAGCTCCATGGGCAACACTGGCCTTTGACCTCAGTGTTTCCTGTCTCCAGGGCTTCCGGTTGCTCCTGGCCAGCCCCAGGGCCTGCTACAAACTGTTCCAGGAACTGGAGAAGGAGGGCCACGGGGAGGCTCTGCTGTTTAAAGGGATCGAGAGTAAGTGGAACATGCCTGTTCCTCCTAACTGGGCATTTTTCTCTGCTTGCCCATGGTCACCTATTGCCAAAAGGAATCACCTAGGTAACAGATATTTTCTGAGCATCTACTGCAGGCCAGGCATCCTGCTAAGCACCAGGGATACTGCGCACAGGACAAAATGGCTTCCAGCCCCTGGGGCTTACAATCCAACGGGAAGCCAGTCAATCAGACAACTATAACACAAGGGCCTTGGGTGATATCTGGGGATGCTCAGGGAAAACTTCCTGGAGGTGAAAACTAAGCAGGAACACAAGGGATGAGTAGGAGGTGGCTAGAAAAAATGTGGTGGTGGGACAAAGGGAAGGGAAATATTACAGACAGAGGGAACAGTGAATGCAAAGACTCAAAGGCAAGAGAGAACAAGATGTGTTTAAGGATCTGAAAGAAATTCAGTCTTTCAGGTAATACAGTACGATGTGATATTGTAATTTCTTTACTGAAATATTTTTTCAATAAAGCTCACAGACATGGGTTGAGGTTAGACAAGCCTCCGTGTCTGAGCGTTCTCGCCTAATATCTGTAGTACATCATGTGACCTCAGGCGACCCTCATGCCTCCTTTTTTCCCCTCTTTGAAGGGAATCTCTGGGGATAAGAAGTTCTAATGGAGGGAGAGCACCATTTTACATAAAAACTGATAATAACCAAATATTTTATCCAAAGCATTGCTTCCCGGATGCTCACAACAAATTTGTCCGTTAGAAATGACGGTGGCACCCATTTTATAGATGGAGAAACTGAGTCCTCACGTACTTCCTGGGAAGAGGGAAATGGACCCCTGAATTCATTCACTTTTTTTTTTTCTTTTTCTCTTTCTCCATAACAGGAAAAAAACAGCAGGAAATAAAGAACATTCTATCGAACAAGAAATTGAGAGAACAGAATTCATACGCAGAGGTACAAGCCTGGGTGCCCAGGCGATGCCACCCCCACCCCAGCCACCTTCGCTGCAAGTAGGGGCACAAGGCAGGAGCCTTCTGTGGGCTACATGTTGGCGCAGTGACGAGTGGCCCTAGGGGCTATGATGATGCCTCTTAGGATCTGAGTAAATGAAAGAGGGAGAGACCTTACCCTTCACTCTAGGAGCCAGGTGATGCATGAAAAGAGAAAAGTCAGAAAAGCTGGAGTCAGAGAAAGAGAGAAACCCTCAGAAATAGAGGGATAAAGGGACAATGTGAGAGGTCAAGTGCTAATATGACAGTGTGCAGAAAGACAGAGACACACAGCAGAGGGAGAGGCAGAGAGAGACCCAGAGGTGGAGGGAGGGCAGAGGGGCAGAGGAAGGACAAAGAGGAGGAAAGAGGCCCCCTCAGGCCAAGGGCCCTAGTGCCAGAGAGGCCCCAGGTGCTGCTCCGTACCCCGTCCTCTGGTCCTTCCTTCCTCTTGGCACATCCACCACCCTCCTCCCTCTCAATCCAGCGCTGCATCGACTGGAACCGAGAGGTGCTGAAGCGGGAGCTGAGCCTGGAGGAGTGCGACATCATTGACATCCCCCAGCTCTACCATCTCCAGGAGTATGACAAAGGGATCCTGAAGGCCGATGCCTTTTTCCCAAACATGGTGAGGAGGGGGCAGTCAAGAAGCTAGCGGGGCTTTCAGCAGGTGCAGGAAGCTTGGACTCTTCTCCTCACCTGCCTGGGATTTTCATGACCCTTTTCAGTTTACAAGGAGCTCGGGTGGCACAGTGGTTAAAGCATGCAACTGCTAACCAAAGCTGCTCCTTCCACCAGGAGCACTCCACATGAGAAAGATGAGGCCATCTGCTTACGTAAAGATGTACAGTCTTGGAAACCCTGCGGGGCAGTCCTACTCCATCTCATAGGGTTGCTATGAGTCAGAATCAACTCCGTAGTAGCAGGTTAGTAGTTAGTGGGCTTGGCTGCTAACTGAAAAGTTGAAGTTTTGAGTCTACCCAGAGGCACCTTGGAAGAAAGGCCTAGTGATCTACTTCTGAAAAGTCATAGCCCAGAAAACCCTACGGAACACTGTCCTCCTCTGAAACACACGAGGTTGCCATGAGTTCAAATCAGCTTCACAGACACTGAGTTTTGCTGGCTTTACAGTTTATAAAGTGCCTTCTGGTACCTCACAAGCACCCTGAAAGTTAGGTACGATAATCACCTCCACTTTATGGAGGAGGCCCAGTGAGGTGTGGTCTCTACCACAAACACACCCAGCTGGCAGGAGGCAGAGCTCAGATTCAAAGCTAGGGGTGTGGTTGCTGAGCCCGTGCACTAACCACTTCACTGCACTACCACTACCTCTCCATGGCTGCCCTGCCATGGGAAAGGACATGAGCCCAAACAAGATGCTCTCAGGTTACACTGAGCCCCATGAAGAAAATGAACACCGGGCGCCATCTTAGTCTAGATTGTCTGGTTAGTTCTCTCTAAGGAAGTGGCACTGCCAGGGCTGGGTAGAATCACGCTATGAAGGGTAGACTTGAAGGTGAGCCCACCTTTGTCAACAACAATTAACTGTGACCCACAAGCATTCTTTTGAAGTTATCTACTGCATTTTACCACCCCTCTGCCCTATAATGCCCTCTCTCCAAAGGCCAGGCAGAAACTTCACCCAGTTCCACTGGGACACTTCTGCCACCCACCTCCCACCATATAGGGAGTTCAGGGACAAGCCAGCAGTTCTGGGCACAGTGGTTTTCAAACCGGATTCCCCAGGGCCCTGGGGTTCCAAGGCAGTGATGCAAATTCAGTGGCTCAGATTTTCTGTTGTATGCACAGACGTTCGGCACCAGGTAGCTGTCTACCAAATTCTGTGGTATAAATGAGGAAGCACCTCTAGTGCTGCATGTTCATTGAAACATTTCAATGGATATTCTGCTGATTCCCAGAGCTTTGTTTTTCACCAATTCCTTCATTGCAGCTTGGACTTCTTCCTTCAATCCATTGGTTCTTAATCATATGCTACCTCCTGAAATGGTTAAATGTCAACAATCTTTTTGGTACAGTGACTCTGTATTCTTTCCATCTTCTTTTGATGCTTCCTGTATCATTCAATATTTTGCCCATAGAATCCTTCAAAATTGCAACTCAAGGCTTGGATTTTTTCTTTAGTCCTTTCAGTTTGATAAATGCTGAGTGTGTTCTTCTTTTTTGGTTTTCTAACTCCAGGTCTTTGCATATTTCATTATGATACTTTGTCTTCCCCAGCTGCCTTGTGAAATTTTCTTTTTTAGCTCTTTTACTTCATCATTTCTTCCATTCACTGTACCTACTCTCTGTTCAAGAACAGATTTCAGAGTCTCTTCTGATATCAATTTTCGTCTTTTCTTCCTTTCCTGTGCTTTTAATGACCTTTTGCTTTCTTTATGTATGATGTGTTTAATGGAATCCCACAACTCATATGGTGTTTGATCATTGTTCAATGCATCAAATCTATTCTTCACATGGTCTCTAAATTCAAGTGGGATATACTCAAGGTCATATTTTGGCTCTCATGGACTTGTTTTAATTTTCTTCATCTTCAACTTAAACTTGCTGTGGTAGTTAAATTTGTGTGTCAGCTTGGCTGGGCCTGGTTGAGTGACTGGGCAGCTGGATATAGTATTCCCCATGATGAGACTGGCAATCACCTCCATGGTGGGATCTACCACAAGCAGCTGAGTAGCTGCCTTTAGGATGTGATCTGCTTCCTATATATAAGGAGAAGCCTTGGGGATAGTTTCTAGCTTATGGCACAGTTGAACCCTGCATGTAGACGTGTTGTTGTTCAGCAGCCTGCATGCTCTACCGACCTGGGGACTTACAGTAGATTTGAATTAGTGGCCTGCCGTGTGGTTGGTGATATCAGGACTGTGCCTTTTTCCTTGTCAACCTTGGGCTTGGCAGCCTCAGCAACCAGCAGCTGTCTGAGTGAAGAAAAGCCTCTAGCTTCAGTGGGCTGGAAGCTGGAGGCAGAGCTGAAGCCCAAGGCTGAGGGCCTTTCTTTCACCCAACCCCTAGAGCCTGGTACTTTGAACTTGGACTTAAAACCTCCAATGTGTAAGAGAATTAACTCCTGTTTGTGAAGGCCATCCCATTTGTGGTATATTCCTGTCAGAGTGGCACTAGGGAACCAAAACACTTGCTTATGAGCAATTTATGGTCTTTTCCACAGTTGGTCCCTGGCCTTGTTCTGACTGATGATATCGAGCTTCTCCATCATCTCTTTCCATAAATGTAGTTGACGTGGTTCCTATGTATTCCATCTGGCAAGGTCCATGTGTACAGTTGCTATTTAAGTTGAAGAAAGTATTTGGAATGAATAACTCATTGTTCTTGCAAAAAATCCTACCTCTGGCATCAATGCCATCACCAAGGTCATGCTTTCCAAGTACGGATACTTTTTCTTTGTTTCCAACTTTCACATTCCAATTACCAGTAATCATCAATATATTTTGATTGCATTTTTGGTTGATTTAAGACTGCAGAAGTTGGGAAAAATCTTCAATTTCTTCATTTTTGGCTTTTGTTGTTGGTGCATGAATTTGAATAGTGCATTAACTGGTCTTCCTTGTAGACGTATGGATATTATCTCACTGACTGCATTGTGCTTCAGGACAGATTTTGAAATGCTCTTTTTGATGATGAACGTGACACAACTCCTCTTCAATTTGTCTTTCCCAGCATAGTAGATCATACTCACTGCCATCAAGTCAATTTGACTCATAGCAATCCCTCCTTGGGTTTCTGAGGTGATATCTCTACAGAAGTAGATTGCCCAGTCTTCTTTCTGAGGAGTGGCTGGTGGGTTTGAACAGCAGCTTTCTGGTTAGCAGTCAAATGCCTTAGGCACTAAGATTATCCAATTCAAAATGGCCAATACCAGTCCATTTCAGCTCACTAATGCCTAAGATATCAATCTTTATATATTCCATTTCATTTTTGACAACTTCCAATTTTCCTAGATTCATACTTTGTACATTCCACATCCCAATTATTAGTGGATGTTTGCAGCTATGCCTTCTCATTTTGAGTTGTGCCACATCAGCAGTTAACGGTCTCAAAAGCTTTACTCCATCCACGTCACTAAGTTTGACTCTACTCTGAGGAGGCAGCTCTTCCCCAGTTGTATTTTGAGTGCCTTCCAACCTGAAGGGCTCATCTTCTGGCACCATATAGACAATGTTTCACTGCTATTCATAAGATTTTTAGTAGCCAATTTTTTCAGAAGTGGACCTGGCCACATCCTTCTTCCTAGTCTGTCTTAGTCTAGAGGCTCCACTGAAACCTGTCTACCATGAGTGACCCTGCTGGCATTTGAAATATCGGTGACATAGCTTCCAATATCACAGCAACACGCAAGCCACCACAGTACAACAAACTGACAGACAAGTAATGGATGGGAGCGCAAGGGAGGAGTGACTAATTGCCAGAGTGCAGGGCAGTCATAGCTGTTTCACAGAAGAGGTGGCATTTGAAGTGGGTCTTGAGAATAGGAAAAAAAATTGCCAGAGGGTCACAGGTAGGGAGAAGAGTGTAGTGTTATGAGCAAGGACCTGGAGTTTGACAGATTTGAGTACAATCTTAAACTAGCTGGGTGGCATTAAGCAAGGCTCTTTACCTGTCTGAGCCTCAGTTTCCTCTCTATAAAGTGAGCTATTACTGCTGAAGGTCAGAGCGGGGAATGGCCTTTCGGGTAGTACTGAATTTGACCACGATCCCACCTCTTTGCAGGTAAACATGCTGGTGCTAGGGAAGTACCTGGGCATCCCCAAGCCCTTCGGACCCATCATCAATGGCCAGTGCTGCCTGGAGGAGAAGGTGCGGTCCCTGCTGGAGCCACTGGGCCTGCACTGCACCTTCATCGACGACCTTGCCGCCTACCACCTTCATCGCGGGGAGGTGCACTGTGGCACCAACGTGCGTCGGAAGCCCTTCTCCTTCAAGTGGTGGAACATGGTGCTCTGAGCCTGCCCCTCCCAGCATCCTCTGCTCTGAGATCCTCCTGGCCAGAAGCTTCTGGTCCCCTGCAGTGCCACAGTGCAGAGCTCCTGGGGACATTTTGGCTACTTCCTAGGAGTGGCCAACCCTCCCAGCAGTGGCTTGCCTCTTTGCCCTGTGTCTTGGCCCCCAGGAGTTCCTCTGAGGATCCCAAGATGGTCCTGGCATCGCAAATTCAGTTCTGTCTACAAGAAGCTGCAGTAAAGTTTGGGGTTTTTAAAAAAGTTTTTAAAATCACTTTGTACATAAAGTCAACATATTCCTATCATTCATTCATTCATTCATTATGAATTCAATATTACAAACTTTGAAGTTCAACTAATGCATGTGTTTTTTGTTCCTCAGCATATAACCAATTGCTGGTGGGTTGACTCTGACTCATGGCAGCCTCAGGTGTGTCAGAGTAAAACTGTGTCCACAGGGTTTTCAATGGCCAGTTTTTCAGATCTCCAGGACTTTCTTCCAAGGTGCCTATGGGTGTTAGCAGCTGAGTGCATTGACTGTTTGTACCACCCAGGGACTCTCCTACGCATGCATTTGGTCTATAAAATGTTACACTATCTAAGCTCAGCTGGTTCTCAGCTTCCCACAGATCCTTTCTAGAAGGAGGGGGAAAGTGAAGGCCAAAGGGAAGGCTGAATCCCTTGAGTTTAGGGGCACATCCCTATTAAATTCCATATTCCCAATCAGCCTCCAAACACCCAGCTAGAGGCAACATTCTGTGGTATATGATGTCCCTTTGATTATTCATTTTTATGTGAATATATAAAATATGCTTCTCTGTATATATAAAACCAAAAAGCCAAACTCCCTGCCATCGAGTCACTTCAGACTCATAGCGGCCCCCATTGGGTTTCCAAGGCTATAAATCTTTATGGAAGTAGACACCCTCATTCTTTCTTCTGCTGAGCAGCTGGTAGGTTTGAACCACTGACGTTTAAGTTAGCAGCCAAATGCCTTAACCACTTCACCACCAGAGCACATTTCTTTGTATGTGTATTTCATAATAAAAAATAAAACTATGAAAAACAGAACAAGTTACAGGGTAACACAAGCAGGAAGAGTTCCTGGGTGGCCCAATTAGTTCAGTGCTTGACTATTAACTGAAAGGTTGGTGGTTCAAACCCACCCAGAAGTGCCTGGGAAGAGAGGCTTGATGGTCAGCCTTGAAAACTCTCTGGAACACAGTTCTACTCCGCACACAGGGTGTTGCCACGAGTTGGAATTGACTGGAGGGCAACAGGTTCTTATAAGCAGGAAAATCAAGCCTACATCAGGGAGCCCTGGTGGTGCATTGGTTAAGAGTTTGGCTGTTAGCCAGAAGGTCCACAGTTTGAACCCACCAGCTGTTCCACAAGAGAAAAGACCTGGTATATCTGTTTCAGTGAAGAAAATGCCCTGAAGTCAGTGGGTTCTCTGTGGCCCTCTTAGCTCGTTTCCTCCCCACTAGCATGAAGGCGCCATGGAGCAGGCCCTGATCTCCCTCATTCACTGCCGTGCTGCCTGGAACCAGGCCTGGAACATAGCATTGCAGGCACCATCAGTTTTTGTGGAATGGAATGTCAAATAAAAAAATAAATCCAGATTTTGACAGGGAGCAGTTTGTTCAGAAAGCTTTGTTATTGTAATAACAATAGTGGGAGGGTATCCATTGTAATAAGGAGACCACTCGTGGCGTGAGCGAGTGAAATCATCAGATAGAAAGAATGTTTTACGAGACTACCCTGTTCTCGGTAAGAGGCCCTTAAAGAAGCTCAAGGGAGCCCTGATGGTGCCACAGCTGCTAACTGAAAGGTCAGCAATTCAAACTCATCAGCTACTCCTCAGTAGAAAGATGTGGCAGTCTGCTTCTGTAAAGATTACAGCCTTGGAATCCCTATGGTGCAGTTTTGCTCTGTCCTACAGGGTCACTAAGTGTTGGGCTCTACTTGGTGGCAGTGGGTTTGGGTTTATGTTGGTTCAGGCTGAAGGTGGGACAGAGTTCAGAGACTTGGGCAAAGGAGAGAAGTTTTGTGAAGAAGCGTTTTGTTTCTGATTGATCAGTGGGAACAAGCAGTTCAGTTACTCATTTATGAGGCTGGCTGATCTTATAGTCAGAGTGGCCTCCTTATTGGGATAGACTACTCCCCCTATTGTAATAGTCCCTTTCGCCTTATCTTTCTGAATACCGCTTTTCCCTATCAAAGTCTGGATTTGTTTTTCATTGAACAGTAACATTTACAGGTCCCAGGGATTAGGACCTGATATCTTTGGGGGCCATTGTTCAGCCCACCACAGATCAGAAACCACCATTTGCAAACTGCAGAGGGACGAAGGGGAAAGAAAGAAAGCCGTCCTTCACCTTTCGTGGTCCTGGGCTTTGCACTTGCATTAAGTCCTCATGGGGGAGGAAGATTTAACTTCATAAAACCTAGTTCAGAGGTTTACTTTGCATGGGATTCCACTCTCTCATTGAGGTTGAGATTGTTTGGTGACTGTTTGTGTCTGGGTCCCAAGGAACAGATTCTGAGATGGAGATTTGCATGGTGGAGGTTGACTAGGGGGTGGTCTCAGGAACCGCATCCCACCAGATAGGGAGCAAGGGAAGCAGAGGGAGACGCTGAACTGCAGTGTAGTTGCCACAAAAACTGCAGGCAATCCCATGGGGGGCGCGAGCTGTGATGGCCCTTCAGAGTGCAGGCAAGGAAGCCTGGCTTTTGTCCTCCCCCTTTGGATATAGTCGCTCCCAAGGAGAGGGCAAAGCACTAGGCCTTTTCACAAAAGGTAATTCCCAGAAAGGGACTCAGTCGTGAGCAACCAAAAGCTAATACTACCACAGCTGGGAAGTGAGTGCGTCCATCCTCAAGGGGTCAGGGGACACACTCACTTCCCACTGTGGTAGTATTAGCTTCTGGTTTGACTATGCTTGGTTACAACAAAAGTCACAGGAGGCTCCTGCTTGTAAAAGGAGAGTTTCTGGGTCTATGAACAATCACATTTAAAAAGAAAGCAAGATAGAGATTAGAAGTAACAAGGAGGTCAGAAGCTGCATGTAGAGAGCAGATCAGAGTGAGAAGTGCAGAGCAGTTGAGGTGACCACGTCAATGTGTCTTACTATTAAGGGAGTGATCTGCCCCGTGCCTCCCATCCAGGCTGCTTAAGTAAAGGCCTTGGGCCCAGAATCTTCTCTGATAAGGAGGCTGGGAACTGGATCGCTCTCTCTTACAGTGTCTTCTCCTCATCAGATAAGCCTTCCCCTGTTCTGGGCACACAGTCCCTTGTACATGTGCTGGCACCAGGTGGCACCTGGCCAACGCCACTTCTATATCTGCTCCCCGAGAGGAGGCAATGGTGTCCTTCATACTATGGCACACAAGGGGTGGAATGTAGAACATCTGTCCTGCATTGGCCATGGGCAGGATGAGCCTGATGGCCATGGGAGCCCCATGCCCACTAGTGAAGGTGACCTTGCTGTCCTTTTTCTAGGTGAGTAAAGTGTTTCCCATGCACTGATACAGTGTGAGTGTGTGGGCTTTTGTTGGTGACCTCAAACCTTGGTATGACACTTACTCAGAGAGCCTCCCATATGTTTAACTTTGCCACTTAATCCAACTGATAAGATTTTTTTTTTTTTTTTTTTTTAGGATTTTTGAGAGCTCAAAAGCCCTGCTCCCAAGAGCTAATTAAACAAAGTTATTCCTGACAACTATGCTATGTGCTTAAAACCTCCCAGGAGGGGGTCTTTGTTTCTTTGTTTGTTTTCTGTCCCAAATTTAACACACTTGGCTGACAAGGGAGTCTTTACTCAGTGCGCAGCCTGAATCCCCTATGCTTATGACACATGGGTTACTCGTGGCAGCCCTGTGGAAAAAGGACCAGAAACAAATGCTTACTAAGTGAGGACTGGTCAGAGCCCTGTGTGGAAGGCTACACAGCCACAAAAAAAAGGATAAGGATGCTGTCCTGGGCTGCATTCATCTCCTCCCAAATCCACGTCCTTCCCAGACCCTCAGAAAGTGACCTTATTTGGAAATAGGGTCTTTGCAGATGTAATTAATTAAGATGAAGTCATAATGGTGTATAATTTTGGTGGGCCCTAAATCCAATGACTTTTTGGGGGGGAAAAAAAAAAAAAAAAAAACCTACTTATAAGAAGAAGGAGCTCTGGTGGCATAGTGGGTAAGGCATTTGGCTGCTAACCAGAAGGTTGGCAATTCAAATCTACCAGCTGCTCCCTGAGAGGAAGATGAGGCTCTCTACTTCCATAAAGATTTACAGTCTTGGAAACCCAAAGGGGATTGCTATGAGTCAGAATTGACTCGATGGTAGTGGGTTTGGAACCAAAAGATCAGAGGTTCAAACCCACCAGCCACTCTATGGGAAAAAGATGAAGTAGTCTGCTTCCATAAAGACTTACAGTCTTGGAAACACTGTGGGACAGTTCTACTCTGTCCTCTAGGGTTGTTGTCTTAGGGTAGATTCTCTAGAGAAGCAAAACCAGTCTTTTACAGAGAGATTATATCTAAAGAGAGAAAAAAAATTATCTTACAAAATTGGCTCACACAGTTATAGAGGCTGGCAAGTCCCAAGTTCCTGGATCAAACATCAAGCCGGGGGCATTTCCTGACTCACATAGCTGCAAGGGCTGATGAGCTCAAGATTGGCAGGCAGTATAATAGGCTGCTGACTTCGGTAGATGCCAAATCCAAGATCAGCAGGCAAAATGGTGGATTGTTGGCTCACAGGACAATTGTAGGCAGCACAACAGGATCCAGATACACAGAAGATGTCATTATTGGAACAACCATATCACAACAGCTTAAACCACTCAGAATCATAGTCCAGCCAAGTTGACATACAACCCCAACTGTCACAGTCACTATGAATCACAATTGACTCAATGGCAGTGGATTTCATTTGGTTTTGGGTTTATAAGAAAGAGAGACACAAACAGACAGGGAAGAAGGCCATGTGCTGACAGGCAGATA